GATGCTACCTGGTAGTACCAAGGATAGTATTGCTGGCGGCAGCAAAAGTTGGGCCTCGAGGGCCGTCTTGACATAGGCAGGTAAATCTTTTGTGAACTTCTTACCAGACCCAATCCATTCGCTTTCTAGGAAGACGCCAGCGTGGCTCGTCGACTGTGGTGCCATGGGAGTGACCGAGGGGGATGCTGCCAGAGAGCAGCCTGCACAGCAAAAGATTGGGGGGAAATACAATTGATTGGACTTTATATATAATCTAGCACAAAGAGACCGAACGTGGCGCACTAAACCTACGCAGCGGCGTTGACAAAACAATAGCCCGGGGCAGCGTGAGAGGCACAAGAGGCACAAGGCATCGGCCCCAAGTGGTGGCTGGACACGGGTACCCAGCACGTGACCTCTCCTTATTTACATTATTTACACCGCTAATCAGACAGCCTTGTAAAAAAGTGTAAATTACCTGTAAATTACCTGTAAAAAAGTACGGTGTAATTTACACCGATTTATTTGCCTTACACTAAGACGCGCCAAAGACGGTCCCAAGATGACAGGTCACGGGACCTGTGGCAGCGACGCGCTTGGCCTGCCATCTGTGTCGATAACCCTCTCCTCGCCCTCTCCATCGTCGTCGATGTCGGCGACGACCACAGCTTTGGCGGCCACGGCGGCGACAATAGCTCACAACCCCTCCCCATCCGTCGAGCGCTATCTGAATGCTAATAGTCGCGCTCGGGTCGCCTCGTTCTCCTCTCAGACCGTTTCCTTCCCGCCGACGACCATGTCCACATCCTCCATTACTCTTCCGGTATCGGACGCTTTCGCTTCGGAAAGGCCTCAGGACATTGTCACACCACAAGACCCAATGACCCATGTTCCTCCCAATGGCGAAGACAATCTTGCCATTGCGCCATGGCTCGCTTCCCCTGAGGAGGATGTTCAACCGGTACGTTCTTCGCTTTTCTCTGCTCCGGTGGAACGTTGTACCTGTCTATCCAATACTGGATTTTCATTCCACCCCGCAACTCTGCTGGCTCTGGCCTGTACGACTGGAGATCGTCGTCCTTGATGCGCCATACGACGAACCTCTGCGTTTTCTATTTAAAGGACGCTGCCTATGGATGTCGATTTGAACTGCCCGCAGGGTTCTCCGCAGATTCGTGATTATGTACGGATGGCAGAGTTTGCTGACAAGTATGGGGTGGCTCAAAGCCTGACTGAATACAAGGACAAGTATTTATTTGTGTCGTTTTGACGTTAGCGAGAGAGGCAGTAAGGCTGTTGTTGAGTATTCCCGGAACCTCTGCATCACGATCCCTAATGTTGATGGCCTTACCTACACTAATTCTAACGACGAGTCTACTTTGCCTCTCAATGCCTAAATGCATAACGATCATCTTCTCTTAACAATCCTCTTCAATATGTCGAGGTCGCAAACTTCAATCGTACTGATATACTTTACGACAGCCGACACCTCCACCTAAATCATCTCGCTCCGGGTTTCTGCATAAAGCGAGCGCGTACAGTCTGAATGCGTCGTCTTCGCGCCTAGCTGAGTCCAACTCAAGTTCGGTCACCCTTGATGCACAACATATACGCGAACCACGCCGGTCGAAATCGTCCTTGAACATGAATATCTTCAATATCATGAAGAAGCGTTCGAAGAGTCGGCTACGACCGGATTCCTCGCATCCTGACGAGCCAATTCCACCACTACCTTCTCCCTTTGACGTGCCTTCAGTACCGTCGACATCAACGCTCTCTTCATCGCCGCTATCCGTAAAGGTGCCGCGGCTCCGCGCGAAGAAGAAGCCTCCAGGTCTCTCACCCGAATCTTCCGTCGTTGATGCATCAACTCCCGAGCCCGAGTTCAAGCTGGACACGGACCTCGAGAAGATGGACGGCATCGTGGATATGTCCGTATTCCCCTCTGCCCTCGACAGCGGCTCACCTCGCTCGGGTGCCTTCGATCAATCCAGCTCAGATGTGTCTTCTGTGCATCACTCATTGAATGCGCCCGCGCCCCAAATGTTCAGTAATCCTTTTGTGCCATCCTCTCACCGCACTCTTGCACCAAGCATACATGCGTTTGACGGGCGAAAAATCTCGCCAACAACACGCCCGCCTGATTTCCCAGAGGACGAGTCGCCCTCATGGACGCCTCCACAGAGTTGGGCTGTTGACAAAGAAGGCGAGTCCCCAGCACCGATGGCGGAGGCATCCGACTCGGAGGATGAGGCTTGTCAAAGTACTGCGACGGTCCCAGTGAAGCGGAAGAAACGACGGTTTACGGCTATGAGCAGCACTGGTAGGACCGTGTCATCGTCCACCGTGTATCAGATCCGCATATACCGTGCCAACGGGTCGTACCACGTTGTGCGCATCAATCTTTCAGTAACTGTCGAGCAGCTAGCGCCGATGCTGGGCAAGAGGCTACTTCTCGACCCGGAACGAGAGCCTCACCGGTTGTATTTGAGAGAACGCGGGCGCGGTATGTATTGTTGGTGCTTCCCATTTGGTTGTTTGGACTAATTTGTATTCACGTCGCAGAGCGCGTGCTCGCACCGACCGAGCGGCCTGCTAATATCGTCCGTCGTCGGCTAGAACAAGCTGGCTATGATCAAGCAGATGGGCTTGATGTACTCGGAGCGGACGACCTCGCTTTCTTGCTCAGGTTCGTGTACAAGAGCGAGGTACTTGGCCCGGTTGTGAGTATTGCCATTTTTCCCGTCAGCTCGAACTTATCGCTTTGGGCTAGGCCGACGACTTGCAGATCGACCAGTACGATGGTATAGACTTGACTGGGCGTAGTCTGCGCACTGTGCCTGTCATGCTCTATCCCCACGCGGAGGCCATTGTGTCTCTCAACCTTTCGCGGAACCCGATGCTCGAGATCCCGCTCGACTTCATCCAGTCATGTACGACCCTTCGCGAGCTACGCCTCAGCCACATGGCGATGAAGAAGGTGCCACAAAGCATCCGACGCTGTCGTACTTTGCATCGCCTGGACCTCTCGTGCAACCGCATTGTTGACTTGGATGACGCAGGACTAGATTGGATTCCCGAGCTGCGTTCACTGAAGGTGCAGAACAACCGCATGGCCGGTCTGCCGTTCTATTTCCCACGATTGCGCGCGCTCAAGGAGCTGAACATCTCCAACAACAAATTTCGCGAGCTGCCGGCAGTCGTTTCAGAAATCACGAATCTGGTCGACCTCGATATCTCGTTCAACATGATCGAGAAGCTCCCAGAGAATACCGGGGAGCTACATGCTCTCGAGAGGCTCATCATCATTGGAAATCAGGTCACCGAGTTTCCTGCGTCTGTCGCCGACCTTGCGAATCTACAGATGCTGGACTGCCGGCGGAACAATATATCAGACCTTTCCCTCGTGGGTGTTCTCCCGAAGATACAGCAGATTGTGGCGGACCACAACTCGGTGCATGCGCTTGATATCACGTTCAGCTCCTCACTGAAGCATCTCGACGTCTCTCACAACGACATCACGCAGCTAACTGTGATCCCTGGTCCCCTACGTCAGCCTTACGCGCTTACTCATTTGGACTTATCCAATGGAAAGCTCTCCGCGCTGGATGAGCATGCACTTGCCCAACTCACAGTACTCGAGACGCTGCGGTTCGATCACAATTCGATACGGTATATACCGGATTCGCTCGGAGAGCTGTCCCACTTGGTCCACCTGTCATGCTCGAACAACCAGCTTCGTGCACTGCCGGAGACTATCGGCCGGCTGCAGAAACTCGAGACACTCGAAGCTCACAACAACTCGCTGCCCGAGCTGCCCGCGACGTTGTGGCATTGTGCTTCGTTGCAGCTGATCAATGCCACCTCGAACCTTCTCCATTCCTGGAGGCTGCCGCCATTACATAGCATGAACATGAGCACGAACTCAAGCTCTGGCTCGTCACCCAAAGGCTCAACGCTTCCCGCACGATCTGACAGCTTATCTGCGCGGAAGATGTCCTCGAGTGGTTCCGTGACGACGCGCGTACTGCCGCCACTTGTGTTCTCTCTCGAGAGGCTATACCTAGGAGAGAACAGACTGACGGACGACACACTGCATCCTCTCGCATTGTTGCAGGAGTTACGGGTCCTCAATCTTTCGTTCAACGAGATTCAAGAGATGCCGCCTTCGTTTTTCCGAAATCTTTCCCACTTGCGTGAATTGTATCTCAGCGGCAACAAGCTCTCTGCTATCCCCACAGAGGACTTGCCTCGGCTAATCAAGCTGGAGGTCCTGTTCCTCAACGGCAACAGACTGCAAACCCTCCCGAAGGAGATCGGCAAGTTGACCAATCTGACAGTTGTCGACGCGGGAAGCAACATTTTGAAGTACAATATCTTCAACTGGGAATTCGATTGGAACTGGTACTTATGCCGTCTACATTCTGAGTCTGCAATCTGAAAGCACCTCCCAGGAACTTCAATACAAGTCTGCAGTACCTCAACCTTTCGGGTAATAAGCGACTCGAGATCCGCACGGATGTCGCCCCTGTCCGAGATGACGAGAAACGCAGGGTGCTCGCAGACTTTTCTGGGCTAACCCAACTCCGTGTGCTCGGGCTCATGGATATTACAGCGACAAACGGGGCTAGCATACCGGACGAGAACGAAGACCGTCGGGTTCGCACTTCATTATCCGAGGTCAACGGCATGGGCTACGGTATTGCTGATACTTTAGGGGTCACAGAGCATCTCAATATGCTTGATCTGGTTCAGCCACAGTTTCGAGCCAAGAACGACGAGGCAATCTTCGCGATGTTCGGGCGTGCGTCACATATCGGAAACAATCACTGGCTTAACAACTACCTGCATTCCAAGTTCCTAGAAGTGTACATCATCGAGCTGAATCGCATCAAGCCTGCCGTGGGCGAAGCCGTTCAAGATGCCTTGCGACGCGCCTTCCTAAAGCTAAACCGACATCTCCATGACTTCCTTTACGCGAGCGCCAGTAACCGCAAGATGTCTCATGTCAGTACTTCGACGTCGAACCCTCGCGATATGAACAAACGGAGCGGGGCATCAGGCATTGTCCTTCATCTTGTCGGCAGAAAGCTCTACGTCGCCAATATCGGACGATCGCTAGCTGTCATCTCTCGTGAAGGCAATGCCACCCTGTTATCGCGGAAACATGATCCGTTTGATCGTCAGGAGACGTCGCGCATCCGGTCTGCTGAGGGTTGGGTCTCACCCAAGGGTCTCGTCAATGACGAGATTGACGTTGCCAGATCATTTGGCTTTTACAATCTCCTGCCAGTGGTCAACGCTAGGCCTCACATATCCGAATACGACCTGACCGAGCAAGATGAGTTCGTCATTGTCGGGAACTCGGGACTCTGGGACCACGTATCTTACCAGACAGCTGTCGACATTGCCCGCACGGAGAGGGGCGACCCGATGATCGCCGCACAGAAGCTCCGGGACTTAGCCATCAGTCACGGTGCAGAAGGGACAACGATGATTATGGTCATTGCCGTCGCTGACTTGTTCGGAGGTCCCGCGCGCTCTCGTCAGCCTACGATGGAATCTGTGATTGATACGGAGACGTACCTCTGGACGAAACGCCGAGGCCGAGACAACATCACCAATCGGGACATCTCTCGTCTCGAAGGCGAAGTCCCCGCTCCGACGGGTCACGTCGCCCTGGTATTCACTGACATTCGCAACTCGACTCACCTATGGGAGGTAAATGCTGGTATGCCAACAGCCATGGTTCTGCACAATAACCTCCTACGACGACAACTGCGATTCTGCGGCGGCTACGAAGTTAAGACGGAGGGTGACGCCTTCATGTGCTCGTTCCCGACCGCCATATCTGCGCTTTGGTTTTGCTTCAGTGTTCAGGTACAGCTCTTGCAGCTCGACTGGCCTTTAGAAATACTCGAGTGCGAAGATGGCAAGGAAATCTTCGATCTAGAGGGAAAGCTCATAGCTCGCGGGTTGTCCGTCCGCATGGGTATTCACTGTGGCCATCCCGTCTGCGAGCCGGATCCTGTGACTGGTCGCATGGATTATTTCGGTCCTATGGTCAATCGTTCGGCTCGTATCGAAAGCAGCGCAGGCGGCGGTCAGATCATGTGCAGCGCGGAAGTCGTACGAGAGATCAAAGCGCGCGTATTCGAGACTGACAAACCGGAGGTAGAACAGCCATATGTGCGGCCCTCACAGGCTATTGATGCTATCCGGCGGATGGGGATCGAAATCGTTGAGGTCGGCGAAGTGAAGCTGAAAGGACTGGAAGTCCCGGAGATGCTCTCCCTCGTCTATCCACAGGAACTTGCTGGTCGTAAGACTCTTACCACCACCCAGTCGGCATCTAATCCATCAGGCTCTCGAGTTCAATTCAGCGTCGAACAGATGCGCGAATTGGCTCTGCTGTGTATTCGCTTGGAAATGCTATCTTCAGGAAATGTCGTTCGATCAAGTCGAGACCGCCGAAGCACGTCGTCAAGTCGCTCCACCGACCCCGCAGATGGCGCCGCCTTTGGATCATGTGAGCCGAATGCATTACTACCCGCCATGGAGAAGGCGTCAGATACCGAGCTCATGTTCCTGCTCGATTCTTTGGCTACGAGGATCGAGAACGCCCTTACGAGGATTACGGTTAATCAACTAGGCTCCATGAAGGATGCCCTAGCAAATGGAACTCAGGACCCTGCGCTCTTACAGCAACTGCTTTCCATCATTTGCCCATAACGTTATTTCCAAGAACGTCTTGTAGCTATCCAGTCTGTATTCTGCTGTCGTGCTCTCTTGCTCTCACTCGTTTCGGCTTCCATCTTGTCAGAATCATTTTCACATATCCTTATTCTTTAACCTGTAGCGCATTGGGGTTTAGACGCACCTGTATGGAATGTAGTCCCAACAGTCATTCAAGTTGTATGCATGCATGATCTTGAGTGTAGTGAACCCGCCAGGTCAAGAACGAAGGTGTAAAGAAGCACATCGCGTAGCAAGCCCCATATCAACCTCATTGCCCTGTAGGTACCCATACTAGATCTTCATCCTTCTCTGCATCGCCGATGACGGCATCACTATCGCCCTCCCCCTCGCTGCTTACAGCTGCCCAATCAGCCTTTACTCGCTCTTCCAGCGCAGCGATCCTTGCGCCTCTAGCACGAAGGTAGGCAACAACCTCACGCGCAGAGCGCCAACCGATAAGCTCAAATAGCGCCTCGACACCTTCATCGGTGTCCTGCATGGGCGCCTCCTCGACCTGCCCACCGAACGCACGTGCGAGGTGAGCCGAAGCGCACACGCGCGTGCTCTCTGCACCGGGGCCGCGGTCGAGCTGTGAGAATAGAGATGCGAGCGCTTTCGCCGCTTCCACCCGTGCACGCAGGACGTGCCGAATGAGGCGACGTGTCGGCGGGCGGCGGCGTTCGCGCTGAAGCTTAGGGACCAATGCGGTGGGCTGCGAACCCGTGGGCGTCGATGTACCAGATACGGGAGCAGATGACGTTCGGCGCGGTTTGACTCTGGAACGATCGACCCACTCATTTTCTGGTGGTACACGCGGAATGGTGTATTGCGAGAGAGCGTTAATCGAGAGGTCCCATCGCTTGGGGATCCAAAGTCCAACAAGGACACGCCAAGCTGCCACAAGACGTTTCGCACTGGAGGTAATGGTCAACGACGAACGGCAATGTATATGTCGGGTAGTAACACTCACTGTTCATAATTATCTATCGACGAGCAGATTGACCGTCAGCAAAACTCATTCGCACTGTAACATATAACTCGAGAACCCACCATTAATTAGTTTGTTATGGTAATTTGCGAACAATACCACAAGAGTTGCAGCAGCGAGCGCACCCATTGGAGTGTACCAGAGTAAGGCCCAAATGAAGAAAAACGTTGCAGGATATATTAGCAGCAATAGCAGGAGCCCGAAGACAACCTTGTTCTGCGCCTGCGTTTCCTCCTCATCCTCCGCGAGACGTGCACCGACGCGCGCAAACAGGTATGCAGGTGTATGCAGGAGGAGTGGTGCAGCGAAGAATGGGAGGCGCACTGCAAGCGCTAATGAGTCGCGTACGAGCAGGCTCAGCGCAAAGAGACGACTCGGAAGCGCGATCGGGCGGTTTGGGTCGAGTGTCTCAGGCAGCGGAAGAGCAGCGAGCTCAGCGTGCGAGAGACCCGTGGATTGCAAAAGCGAGTAGTATGTGAGCAGGTGCCGCCGAATGGAGATGAAATTGGGGACGAGATCGGGCGTTGAGAATAAATCGACAAGCCTGGCACGGAGTCGTGTCAGAGTGAACTGAGGGGGTGAATGAGGACAGCGACGCACGTCTGGGAGATGGCGACAAACTCGTCGAGGTTGATTGCTTTCTCGTCACCCCAGAGCAGGTCACGCGCCATGCGTGCTGCATAGAGCGTATCCCTATGAGCGGGTGTCAGCGATCTATGGCACAACCCGCGGCGGACACCCTTACCAGTCGGGTGCGTTGATTGTGGCCTCAATGAGCTGCTGCTCGATGGTAGCGGTAAGGCGTTTCACAGCCGCGCGGGGTGCGCCTTCCTCTGTGGACATAAATTGCTCAATATACGCGTCTAGAGCGATTGGTGGTCCAAATCTGAAATAGCAGGACGTGAGGAGGCAAACTGGGCAGCTCGACATGACAGGAGCTTACTCCATGATAGCCTTGCAAGATCTACGTCAGTTATCGCTGGCGTCAGCATACTGAGTACTCACAGTGCTGCGATACTTGGTTTTGTTCGTATACACAATCGCGGCGGTGACGACCACGACGCGTTCCGCGCCTGCTTTGATCTGCTCCGGGTGCTCCCTCACTAACTTCGCATACTCTAGTGCGGCCCACGCGGCGCCATCCTTGACCTGCACAATGCGTGGCTCTGTGTACGAAGTGCCCTCAGGGAAGACGGCAACGGCATGGCCGTGAGAGAGAGATTGTAGCGTGCCGCGAAAGAGTTGTTTGCGATCCTTCGCCTTGCGGTCCACAGGGATGTTGCCCGCCGAAGTAAGAATATAGCTCACAGTTGGGTTCGCAAAGAGCGATGCTGTCAAGCGAGACGTATTGACCCACAGCGTGAGCAGTGGAAAAGGGGGGTCGCACCTTTGGCCCAGAAGTGCAGAATACGCTTGTATGGAAACATGGTCGCTGTGCCGCTGAGTGAGCCTGAAACGGGTTACAATAAGATCATGCCACATACATAGAATAGCGGGGTCAATCATCATGTTATGATGCGTCGCCGTGCTAAGGCAAGTTGACAGTCAGCGATGCAGTACTGTGACATAGCAAAGAGGCACGGCGGGCACATGTCAGGTATTGTTAAGCAAATTAAACAATAGAGACCTGGCATTATTGCGTCCCGCTGGAGTCCCTGTCGCTATAGCTGAAGCACTCACGCAATAAGCGGGCCGCGTTGCGGCACATTCTCTCCCCCAATGACATGGATCTCCGTGAAGAAGGCGAGCAATGCCCACTCAGCGACCTTGCGCAGCACCCGGTGCAGAACGTACGCGTCTGGCATGCGGAACGTCGCCAAGATGGTGAAAGTCGTAGAGTAAAAGGAGAACTGCAGTGCGCGAGCCGCGAGGGCTGCGAAAGACCGACTTGGCTACCCCAAGGCGCTTCCCAATACCGCTTCAGGTGGCTTGCCTCTTTTGGCAAGCCCGGGATGCGCCATCCTCGGGCACTTGCTCGTCGGGCGCTTGGCGTTGAATACCAAGTAACACCATGTGGAACGCACGATGGCATCTTGAGCCTATCCAAGCCTCCACCTCGGGCTATCAAACACCTTGGATGCACAACAACAGGCCATGCTCATTCCTCGTCTCGCCGTGGTAGAAGGGTATGTTCTGACGCCAAGTCTATATGGGGTGAACCTCATGAAATAACTCCAGAGCTTGCGTCCAGTCCGGCACAGTCGACAATTAAAGCTCCTTCGGTGTCTACGAGAATTAGGACGTTTTTCGTGGAGGCCGCACTTAATTGACTGCGGGTTGAACTGGTTCATTGCAGGTACTTCGTGTCTGTTGACGCTGAGATACTACGAATGGCAACTGAATGCCTCACTGTCAGTTATTCCTTCTGTTCCCCTTGGAGCTACCCACCGGAAAGCTGTTCATTCTGGATTACCTCCACTACGTGCAGATTGCCGGTATCCTCCTCTACGTAGTTTCGTGCGTCGTCTTGTAAAGCTTGTCGTGGACACCACACCCATTTCAGCTGACGCTATTTTGCAGACTTTTCATGCTCTTCCTCACCAATGTCACGCAGTATCATCAGTCGAACATCTTGCAAGGCATCGGAATGGTTCTGGGCGTAGGCATGCTGCTGTTGTCAATGACCTCTCTTCAATCCCATAATTGGAAGCAACACCATGCATTCGTCATGGGTACCATCCTCGCAGGTCCGTCATGGTTCATTTCCATACCAGGTCATGATATTAGCGTTTGTTCAGCCTCCTTTTGCGGTGGATCATATACCCGATCATGTTCAACTAGCTCGTCCACTCGGGCGTTGGCTTTCCGTGGGCTGTGCGCGCAACCGCTTTTCTCACACTCGGTGTGCTATGCACTGCGGCATGCCTTACTGAACGTCGACTTCCAAATGCGAACAATCACCCGCCAACCCCCATGCCGAGCATCAAAGGCATCTTCCGGGAACCGGCGTACATTCTCACAAGCGTTAAGCCGGATGATCTTGCACAGACATCTACCTTCAGCTCTGGTCCAACTCATACGGTATATCATCCACATTCTCATTCTAAACCGTGAGCCCGTACCCCGTCGCCCGCGCTGACCAACTACCGGGCACTGACCACGCATGTCCGCTTCACCCCTGCAGATTGCAATCCTCAATGTGGGCTCGTTTTCGGGCGACCACTCCCAAGCCGGCTTGCCGACTCGTTCGGGAAGATCAATCTGATCTGTACGGTGTCTGTCGTGAGCACCGCGCTGCTTTTTTCCCTGTTCGGAATCAAGTCCGAGGCCGTGGTCATTGTGTTCGCAATTCTGTACGACGTTTTCTCCGGGGCAGGTAGTAATCTCCACCGCGTCTAGTATTGCGCACCACAAAGGGCCTCTGCTCATGCTGACGTTGCGTCGCACTACATGACAGTTACATCGCTGCTCCCTCTCTTACTGGCTGTCGCGGCGCGCTCGCAGTCAGAACTCGGATGCGGTATGCTCTGGATCTGTCCTCCGCGCTTCGCTCGGACGATCAATCGGCTGCACTGAGGACTTTGCCCGCCATGCCTACGAATTCAATTGCCGATGGAGGACACAACGTCGAAAAAGAGTCTTTCCCGCAGACGCGTGCTATCCTACCGTAGGTATGAAAGGATGAGTAATGAGGGAGATAGGCACGGGTCCGGGGGCTCGTCAACGGCGCGCTGATTTCGACGTAACAACAGCACAATGTACGTGAGCAGGGCGTTCGGCCGCGCTTGTCTGTCAATATGGTTCGACTTCTATCTGGAAGGCCCGCACTACTCTCCCTAGTGTTGGTGCTGATCGGCAACAAACCTAACCTCCCTGCGTTCCCAGCAGGCCACTCGGTACCCTCTTCGGCACACCCCTGAGCGCATCTTACACTGCCTCTTCAATGTTCGAAGCCCTACCCACGTTCCTGCCCTCTGCACTACTGTCTCCCGAGCCCGGCATAACGCCACGAGGCAATCGCGAGGCGGGAGACTTCTTGATGTTCGCGTTCGGGCCTGTACTCTCCGCGCTCTCCCATCCATCCCCACGAAATCTACGAGGTATACTGGATTCTCAGACTACTCTAGGTCGGTCCGCGGTCCTCCTACTGCATATATTCTCCAACGCTACCACTGGTGTGGGAGGTTGCTCTCATCTCAACTGCCGTATCTCGCTTCACATGAGGTCCTCCGATTACCCGAGGAACTGCGCGCCAGCAGCAGGAAGCCGCTACTTCTACTATGTCAAGAGACACTCGGCAAACAAGATCACTTATAGTCCCGTGAGCAATTACGTTGCTCGGCTATCTATACACCTCAGAGTGAGCGCACATCTTAACCTGGCTTTGCATTCTTTTTGATGTCGGTGAATAGCTGCTGGCGCGACTGAACAATAAGGTCATGCATTCGAGAACAACGCCAGAGCGCCCGAATGACTCGCTAACCAAAAACACGATGCAGCCGTCTCATTCGTAGGTAATGATGGATGCACTTACTGCAAGCGTGCATTGCACAGGAATCATTCACCAACCCCGAATCACAGGATCCATTCTGCGACACTCGCCTATGTCGGCATGTCCTTGCTTACAGTCGATCAAAAGCTTATCTTTGCTGTTGAGAATGGTATAAATAGGCGATTCGGCACCCATACTTCCCATCCCCAGTGCAAGTCTCCTCAATACAACACCCGTGTCACTACCATATTACGATGTCGGAAAATCATCATGGTCGAGAGCGCCTCACTCGTGGCACCCACCGCTACCGACCCTATGTGCCCCGCGGTCCTCCTGAGGTGAATATTACTTCGAATTGCTACATGACATGCCGATACTAACTGAACGTCCTGGTTGTCTTTTTGCAGCTCGACAATCGCCAGTTGCGCAACTATCTCCTGATCGCTGCGTGGATGGTGATGGTATGCACATACAGTGTCCTCTTTACTTCCTAATAGATGCTCTGTACCAGGTCCGCGCGCTCTCGCGCAGTTACGAGGCTCAGCGTGATGCCGACGCCAAAATGGAAGACGCTTGAGCTGGTTGTGCAGGACTTCGGTTGCCCATGGTACGCCCATTTGACTCTCTTTATTCGTTACATATAACAATGTCTCCTGAAGGATGGCCTTGAAATGCGTGCATCCTGGCAATACTCGAGTCTCGGGTGCGGACTATAGCGCCGTCTGATTGAGTGGTGTCCCAGCTTTGTTGCGTGTTTTACTGCCTTGCTATCCATTGTTCTGTTATCACATAAATACATCTAGTTGTGGGGCCATCTGCATAGTCCTGCGAGAAAGGGCATGTAATCCAACCCCTGCAGCCTCAGGCATTCTAACAGTATCCGTTGTATATCTCAATGACATCACATTTTCGTTGTTCTAACCTTCTGCGCACTTCACAGTGCTTCCTCAGCTCTCGGCTTCCGCCCACGCTCTCGCCCTCGTCGCCACTCCCGACTGTGTCCGAGCCGTCGCCCATCAGCGACCACGACACGCTGCTATTCATCACGGCAGCACGTTCACGTCGCGCGTCAAAACTCTCTCTAACGTCGTCGTCAGGCTACTCGCAATGCAACTCGACGGCCACACTCGCGAGCAATGCGAGCAGCGCCGTCCCCTCGCTCTCATCTTCGACCGGCGCGACGCCTGCAAACTCGTTTCTGCGCTCATTGAGGTCGTTCCTGTCTAACGGCTCGCTGTTGGCGTATGCACGGCACGCTAGCAAGTCGCCCATGTTTGAGCCTCGCATTTGTGAATAAGACCCTGCGGAGCTCACGCGCCTGTCGCTCGACGAGATTCTCGCGCCGTCGCCCGCGCCCGACCGTGACGACCTGAGCGACGACGAGAAGGTGCTCGAGCTCGGGCTCCCGCCGTCCCTCACGCGTCAGGCGCGCCAAATCGCAAACGACTCGATCTCGTCCATCGACGTGCTCGGCCTCACCGCTGCACGAGGACGAGATTGACGTGCCCGTCTCCGCGCCACCTGTTCCGCGATCCCATCCCTCGCACGCCTCCGACCTGTACGCGTCTGCTCGCAAGCCGACCCTGCCTCCCCTGCCCCCGGACTCCCGCGCCCTCGACGAGCCTGCGACATTTCCGCAGTCAGACAGCCCAGACATCAAGACCATCCTCGCGACCACGCCCCGCCCGCACCGCAAGTCCTCCATGTCGTGTCTGTCGGGCCGGTCGCGTTTGCCATCACGCTCGCGCTCGCAGCCGCGTCGCGCCCCGTTCCGGCGGCACGTCAGCGAGGGCATCCCCAGCGCGCGGCGCCGCGAGGGCGAGTTGCGGCGCACGAGCGAGGCGTCGCTCCCGGTGCCGGCGCTGGGCGGCCGCCCGGCGTCGCCCACGGAGCTGGCGTACGCGCGCAACGCGTGGGTGGAGGACTCGTTCGTGTCGGACTACGGCGTGCTGCTGGACGGGACGGGCACCACGATGGACGTCGTGGGCGGGAAGGAGGCGTGCCTCGAGCGCGAGCTCGACGGGAGTGGGAACGACATGGACTCGAGCATCGACATCCACATGCCGCTGCCGTGAGTGCCGCATTCCGTGATGGTGGTTGTGGTCGCTGATGGCTCATGCACCGCAGGAATCTGATGTTGCGCCATGGCTTGCTGTCGCCAAACTCGAAGCTGCTCCCGCAGGCGTCGCGCGTGGGCACGCCGTCGTAGTCCAATGGCAGGCCTGGGAGCTTGCTGAGCGTAGCATCCATTAGTGAGTCACTGACATGCTCGTGCGCGCGTACTCGACTGAAGCATTGTCGTCGTTACAGCCGACTCTGTCATGACGAAATCGGGGCTGTACAAGGACGGACGCGACACGGCGAAGAGCGGCACCGGCATCGCGATGGCAAGCTCCTGCGCGGCGGCATCGGTCTGACGACCGGGCTCGGCTGGAGGACAGCGAGGACGAGGATGCGCCATCCCCGCTCACTCACAAGCTCTCCGCAAATACCCTCAAGACGAAAATCACGCCGTCGGCGTTCCACTCACCTCATCCCCTCTCGCGGATCGGCAGCGCGACTGGCCTGAGCGCCCTCGCCAAGGACGGCCGGCCTCGCGGACTGAGCCACTCCCCCTGTCCACAGGATCGGCGCGTCAGTTCGAGCAGCGCCACTTCATCCACCGTTGGCGTCCCTTCTCGCACGTTTGTTTCCTCGCTGCGACCGACGTCTTCCACGGGTAGGTTGGTTGCTAGGATACTAGGCTACATCCACGAACTGGAGGAGACACTAGACTCCACGTCCTCGGCATCGAGCGCCAGAGTATTCATGCCTGTTACTCCTGTTGGATATGATGGGCCTGGACGGTCTCCAATCTTTGGCTCGCAGAATGGGCGCATGATGCAGCGCCCAAAATTGGACGCCTGGCTTGCGTTCATGGGCTGGTCAGTAAGTGGCGGAAGCAACCTTGCCGCCACGCCCTCTTCGCTGCCGTCAGCGCGGACGCCATCAGTGCTGTGATCACTCAAGCTACCACAAGTCCACGCTCAAAGTGGCATTCGGCATGCATGGGATGGTGGGTACCAGCTGATGCTGTCCGCGAGCAGTATTTAGGTTGATGGGACTTAGGTTAATGGGACTGGGTAGGAAAGACTAGGTAGGGGATTCCACTAGGGAAAACCCTAGGGAAGGCCGTAGGAAAGGCCATAGGGAAGGCCGTAGGAAAGGCCGTAGAAAAGGTGTAGGAAAGGCTGTAGGAGAAATCATAAGAAAGGCTGTAGGAAAGGTGTAGGAAAGGCCGTAGAAAAGGTGTAGGAAAGGCTGTAGGAGAAATCATAAGAAAGGCTGTAGGAAAGGTGTAGGAAAGGCCATAGGAAAGGCCGCAGGGAAAGCCCTAGGGAGAGTGTACAAAGAGCGAGTGTAGGGAAGGCACAGGAAGAGGTGCAAGAAAGAGGGCAAGAAAAGGCCTAGGGGCCGCGCATGTACGTCCCGGACGCATAATGCCAGACTATGGATGGAAAGAGTCGGAGGCGGCTTTCTAACAAGTGTCGTTTGTGAGGGCATGCTTCCCGGACGCACACATTCTGCACTGGCCACTACTCTCAACTTGCATGAGCCTTGCCCGTGAGGTTGTGCTTCCTGGACGCACGCATTCTGCACCGGCCACAACTTTTGACTTACCTGAGCCTTGCTCATGGGGGT